GTTAAGGCCGAAACAAATTGCTAACTCATTTTCCGCGCTGATAAGATCCATCCTGAGCATGGTTCTGTGTTTGCTAGGTAACGGACTCCAGATTTATCCAATGGGGCTGAATTTTGGATATGTTATAGTACACACCAATTGGAACAACTTTCATGAAGAATGTGGCCTCATTCGAGCTATGTAGGTTGCTGAAACAAAGCTTACAATATGACCTACGAAACTGGACTGGCAGGGGGCTGTAGCCAAAATTGAGTTTGTCTTTAAGCTCTTCTTCCCTTCATCCAAATTAGGCCTTAACATGCTTGAATTGCATGAATTATGCTCTCTTGCTCTATTTGCCTACAAAACACACAAAGGAAGGCAAATAACTTAGAAGTCTAGGAAACTAAGCAAAAGAAGTAAGTAAATAGGGCATGTATATGTATGAAATTATGAGCTTAACAGAACCCCAATGCCTTAGTGTTTTAATTAATTAAATTTTCTTTAAATCAAATCTTGCATAAATCTACCTCTCAATCACACTTGTTCTTTTTCATCTCCGTTATTTTCTTTACACCGCTCTCTGTGTAAACGACACTCGGACTTCCGAGCTACACTACTATAGGACACCTTCCCTTGGGTTTTGCAAAGTAGTACGAACAGCGACGAAGGCTAATTGCATTGGGGTGAAGCGCATTTTGCGGTTTAACTATCAAACTTCTGGGAAAATGGTGAATTTTTAGAAATCTAGTATTTGTTTCAACCTAAATACCCCTCGTGATATTAGGGAGCAGATTCGTGGCATTTTGGGTGTAAACATCACAGATGATCCAGGCATATACTTGGGGCTTTTGGTGATGGTAGGGAAAAGGATAAAATTATATGGCCAGTTAACAAGAATGGGATTTATACTGTTAAATTTGGTTATGACCACGTTCATTCACATAGCTACACTCGAAATCTGGAGAGATCTTCGAGTTCCCATGTTATTCCCAAGGATTTGTGGAAACTTGTCTAGAGTTCCTTGCTGATTCCTAAAATAAAAAAAATTCTTTAGCATGCTATCAAAGGGTGCCTATCAACAAAAGCCGACTTGTATCGAAGACATATGGGGTTATCTTCTTTATGCCCTATTTGTGAGGAACACCCAGAAACTGTGGAACACATGTTGTTATTGTGTACCTGGAATCATGGTGTTTGGTTTGGGGGAGCTTTAAACTATCATGTAGGTACACAAGAGATTACTACTTTTGATCTGTGGCTTGGCTTCAGCAAGTGGCGAATCCTTCTATCGTAGGCGCAGATAGTATGGACTAGATGGTGATGCGGATTGGTGTTATTTGTTGGAGCATCTGGAAATCCCGTTGTGCTGTTGTGTTTGAAGGTAGAAGCTTTTGTCCCAAATCCACAATTGATTCAGCAAAAAGATTGGTTGTTGAAGCTTTGGAAGTTGCAAGTGGTGATATATTGCTGCCTAAGATGGTGATTCCTCTGGATGCTCAAGGCCTGCGTTGGCGTCCACCTTCCCAATCAGTTCATAAGTTGAATATTGATGCAGTCTGGGAGAAACACACTTTGTTGGCGGGTTTAGGGGATGTTATCCGCGATGGTGAGGGAAATTTTGTGCGAGGAGGTGGAGGAACTAGATTGACGTCTTCTGTCATTGAGGTTGAGGCTCATGCAGCCCTGCGAGGCTTATCTTTAGCGAATGAGGTTGGCTGTACTAGACTTGAAGTGGAATCTGATTCTAAGGAGTTGATTCTGAGTGTGAAAGGAAATATTCAGAAAGGTAGCTGGATACTCTACCCTATTCTAGTTGCGATAAGAGAAAAATGTAAGTTCTTTCATTTTTGCTCTTGGAGGTGGATTCCACAACAAGCCAACAAAGCTGCTGATGCTGCAACAGAGGATGTCAAGAGGAGGATGTGCAACGAAGTCTGGGTCGACAGACTCCATCTTCCTTGGTTTTTCTTCTTCAATGTAATGGATTACCTTGTCCTCCAGCGCTGTAGGTTTCTGCGATTGGGAATTGACATGCGTCTATAGTGGCGACGTCTTAGTCTGGTTTGGTTTTCCCACCCGTATTATTTGGTATTTTATGCTTGTTGCTATTTTCCTATTTTTGTTGTTGGTAGTTTTCCTATTTGGGGTCTGTTTCTACTCTTTGTCGAGACATACTCGTGTGGTTTCTATGAGGTTCAGCTGCATGTGTTGTTTCCTCTTTATTCCCTTTCGTGAATGAAAGTGGTTTTCATTGTGTTGTTTCCTCTTTGTTCTCCATTTCCATGATTTGTCATTTAACTTTTACACCATCCAATTTTCCATTCATTTTTAAGGGTATTTTAGTATTTCATTTTTTCAAGAAATAAAAGAGAGAAAAAAAAAAGAAAAAAAAAAGAGAGATCACTTTTCCTTTCTCCCTTACCCCAACCCCACCCGCCCCCAAAACACATCGAACTGGACCCCCTCCCCCCTTTTCTCTCTCTCTGAGCATGTATAATTTTTTTTTATGGGGTTCATTGAGCATGGAAATTCGAAAAAATTTCAATATGCAAATAGAACAATACCAAAAAGAAAAAAGAATAAAAATGTGGACTCGGTTTGGGTGGGCTAAGAGAATTTGTGTGTGAGGGGTAGGTGTTTCATGGTAGATAAAGAAGGACGAAGGGGCTATGAAGAAGGAAGGGGGAACGGATTTCAAGGTCGGCTAGGTTGGTTGGAGCTGCCGGTGGAGATAGGGGAAGGTTTGATTTTTTTTATTTATTTAAATTTTAATTGTTTAAAAGATATTAAAAAAAAATTATAATGTCTTTTCCATTTTTAAAATACATTTGAAAATGGAAAGACTAAAATACCCTTAAAACGGATGGAAAATTGGATTTGTGTTAAAGTCATATGACAAATCATGGATTTTGAAAAATTAGGGTGACATTTCTCTTAAATTTTTCTTTAAGGTGACAAATTAAAATTGACATATAAGTTGATGTGACATTTCTACAAATTCCCCTTAAATATATGTGTCAAAGATTTCAAAATTCACGACTTATATTTAAGTTATTCAATTGAATTATTAGAATATTTGTTAATGAGGAGCTTTTTTTTTCCTTTCAAATTGTAGAACAGTTTTTTTTTTGTCGTAAGGTGGGTTACCTTAGAAGTCATTTTACAAAGGGATAAATTTGTCTTTAAAATTTTGAAGATAAGGTGGGTTGGGAAATAAAACAAGGGGGTGAAAATAGTAGAACTGTTAAAAAAAACCCAATTGCTTGAGAATGTGACATTAATTAGCAAGTTACATATATATAGAGTTGTTATCTACTACGGACGTCCGTATTTGTGCCTTCTTTGTGCTAATAAATCAACCCAAACACTTTTATCACTTTTTTGGGTAAAGGTAGAATAGAAACCATGCTCAGCCAGTGCTTAAAAGTCAAACATCACCTCTAGATTGGGCTTTTCCTTCATTGGTGGACTGTATAGAGAATTTGGAGGCTGTTATGTGTGCTTTAGTGCTTTTTTTTTTAATGATAAAGAAGAGAGATGCACAAAACAAAATGAAAATGGTTTCCTTTTCATTGAATGAATGAATTCATTCTGATTATGTGAAAAGCAATTTCCAGACGTCCGCATTAGAGAATAGTCATATATATATGCCATTATCCATTACGTACCTATTATTGATTTTTCTTTTTCATTTTTATATAAGCGATATTGACAAATACAATATGATTTGCTTCTCTCTGACCAGTTCAAGGACTAACATATTCCAAATCTCCACGTCACCACCCACTTCATTTAAAATTGATTAAAGAAGAAATTTTGTTATTTTTTCTGTTGAAAAGATATAAGAGAAACATAAGGAAGACGTTACATTGTGAGGAGTGTAAGATGACTTCTTTAGAGTGAAAATAACAATTCAATTTTTTAGTGGGTAGAATGCAACATGGCTATCTCTTTAGTCATCTATTCAGCATCACGATTCTTGTGGAGTGGCGGCGATGAGAGTTACCTAGCGGTTCGAGCACTTGATTAGCAAGAAGGAGACATTTTGTTGACGTTTTCCACAAACGGCGTCAACTGTTGACATGTGATTTGGAATGGTCGACATAGGACTTTGATAGGGTCAATGTTAGAGCTTCCATTAGGTCGAACAGTAGCAGTTCCTCCGCTCTTAGGAGTGACCTGCACGGAAGGGATAGACTGATGATCACCCAAGAGGCACCAATGTTGGACCTACCTAGCTCTCTCCAATGCCAAAGTCAGAAAATGCAGTCGAGGATGCCTAAGCATGGCTCGCTGGGGTTAGGAGTGCATGGTGGCTCAGAAGGTGATGTGCCCTGGACGGGGAGATGTGGTCTGGTCCACGTAGCGTGTTCTCGGTGCTAGTGGAATGGATATAAGAATTATGCAAGTGTTGATAAAATATTCTTTGAAAGTGGTAGACCTTGTTTCTCCATTGTTTTGATAGGCACGATTGTCCCATTCCCCATTACTCGTGTATTTTTCCTAACATTACAAGTTTTAGACAAGGAAAAATCCAAAGCCTCCAACTAAAGGATTTTTCAATTTTTTCCGGTTAATGGAGCTGCACTAGATTGTATTAATTTTGATGTTAGACCGCTCCGTTATTATAATGGCCTTTTGTGACTAATGACTTTTTTTGACTGAATTATGAATGGAATCCTAGAATTTCAAAAAAAACAAAAACAAAAACAAAGTATTAAATGTGGAGTTTCAAATAAAGATCAATCACATCACATATATTTGCTAGAGAACAAAGAGGAAACTCGCGCTGCATAGACCACACGTATACACATATGATAGGAATCAGGATAAGCAAATTTCGTTTGGCAGTGGCACCATAGTTTCATCAAGAACGGAATACCTCAGAGATATTTTTTGTTTTCAAAATCTATTTTCTTATGTGGAATAGTGTGAACTAGTAAAAGAAATTTAAATGCAAATCTATTTTTTTTAATTGATTTACAATTTACAATTTATTTTTTCATATCTATGATAATGAACTAAGCTTTACCATTCAGAATGGCGCACTACAAAACACATTTGCATTTTTTGTTTGAAAAAAAAGGTAAAGAGAGAAGACTTTTTTGAAAGGAAAAGAAAAGGCTTACACATGAAAGGTTGTAAACTCAATTATGGTACAGGCTCCACCAGAAGAAAACCAGGCTGTAAACAATCACGAGCTCATGTCTTTAAGCTCCACTTGTGACTGCCGGGGACCACCATTTTTGTTCAAAATTTTGGACCCAATATTAATTAACTATATCAATACAAATTCATGAAAATGAAACATTTGAAAAATATTAATGTGGTTGAAATTGATGGGGTGCAACAAATATAAAAACCTTGTTTATTCCCTCAATAATTAAGCATTGTTAGCCTATCTTGACACGCTAATATTCTTGTGGAAACAGATAAGTTTATAAAATAATCGTAAGGAAAAGGCATATTGCTCCTCATCAGATTGTCATACTTTACAAAGGAATTTGGATAGCCTTTTTTTATTTATTTCTCAAATACAAAAAATACAAGCTTGTTTATTCCCCTTGCTAATGCTGAGCAGTGTGACAATCTGATGATGAGAATTAGCTTAAACCCTAAAGTTTAATTAAAAAAAGGGACTTGTAGCTGAATTGGTTAATAGCATTTATCCCTCCATTTTAGATTCTTGGTTCAATTCATCCATCCCCCAATATCATTTGTATTAAAAATAATGCAATAGCAAGGGACCCACTAGTGTAGTGGTTTGGAGTAATTACTCCCTCAGTCAAGGTCCTGGATTCGAGTCCTAGTATTTGTGTAGTGTGTGTGAGTTTAATATATTATTGTCCCTCTCAATAGGAAAAGTTCTAAAAAACAATACAACATTAGAATGTGAGTAGCCACAATTAAGTATCAAAATCATCACAAATATATACCGTCCTTGCATCTATATATATACACACTATTGGCTGGAGATGTGAAATTTGATGCACATTTGCATCCAATTTTACAACCCATTGAGGTTGACTCCACAAAAGAAAAGCGAGAGAGAGAAATGCATGTGGGCTCAAAAATTATCAAGATTACCTTTCTGTTCCACCTATAAGTATTTCCTTCTATTTCCATTTTTTGGTTTGCTACCCATCTTTGTGGTTGGGGGCCCTACTAGCCCAAGGGTAGTAGGGGAAGTGTTTTGTGCAACTTCACCACCACCACCAAGGTGAACAGTCCAAGACTACCACATATGTCTCACTTGAGAAGGTTTCTAACAACCAATCACTTTAATGCTTTGCTTAGTTACAAACCCACGCTATTAGGTTTGGCCTTCCATTTTCATTTTTTAATTTAACTAATATTAGTTAACTTGATATAATTTAAAATATATAAATTTATAATTCTAAAAAATATAACACAATAAAAATCTCAATGAATGAGGGTAACAACCATTTTTTGGGGGAAAAAAAGGCAAACCCCATTTCACCCTATGCATTAAAAAGTTCTATAATGATTTTCGAATTATACCATTAAGTGAATTTCTTTTACAATCATAAAAAAAAATTATTTACACGTATATCAAAATCAGACTCAATAATTTAATACTCAGCGGTAATGCATGCTAGCATACCTATACTTTGGAGAATTAAAGGGATTTTTGTAAATATATCACCTAAACTTATATCTAAGTTTCAAATTGTCATCTTAAAGAAAAATTGAAGAGAAATGTCACTTTAATTTTTTAAAATCCATGATTTGTCATATAACTTTAACACCACCCAATTTTTCACTAATTTTAAAGGGTATTTTAGTCTTTCCATTTTTAAGGGTCTTTCCATTCCCCCTCCAATGTGTTTTGTGGGCGGGTGGTGTTGGGGTAGGGGAGAAAAGGAGAGAGAGGTCTCTTTTTTCTCTTTTTTTTTTCCTTTTATACGAAAAAACTAAAATACTCTTAAAATGAATGGAAAATTGAATGTTTTTAAAGTCAGATGACAAATTATGAATTTTGAAAATTAAGATTGCATTTCTCTTAAATTTTTCTTTAATAAATTAAAACCGATATATAAGTTCTTGTGACATTTTTACAAAAATTCCGAGATTATTGAATTCAGTGTACTAAACCGTCCGCATAAGTTGTTTAAATTAGCCGTGGTGAGGTCTTTGTTTGCAAACCCATGGCACCAAGTCAAATCCCCTTGTGGGCCTCCCCTAGAATAAAATATTAATCATTTAAAAAAAATAAAAGCTATATAAATTTAAAAAAAATTTAAAAAAGAGTCCACATTAGTAACAACTTTAACGTTTTGCTATCCACGTGTAAGCAGGAGAAGCCAACGCCACAGAAAAATCTACACACCGCCGGTGACACAGAACGCAGTTAATGTATTTACTCCTTCAAGTTTCCAGCTAGCAAATTCCGACCGAAACCCGAGGGTGCAGAGCAACGGTCGAGTACGAAAATCCAGCTGTATCCCATCAGGCGCACGTTTACGTCCTTTCATCTACTTAACGCCTCCCTACCCGCTCACTTTAGCGTACGACACTCACGAAATTTATAAAAACAAAAAGATCTGTAAGAATTACGTTATTTCTCTGTTCGAAATCTTTCTCTAAGCGACTGAAGCGCTCAAGTAATATGTTTACACAAAAAATTAAAATAAATTTAAACAAATTAAAAAAAAAAGCTTGCTCTGCAATTGAATTTACACGTGCGAAAAAAAGCTGACGGTGACGCACGTGCGAGTTCTTCCACCGAGAGCCGACGAGGACATAGTAGAGTAGAGAAGAGAAGCAGGGAATGCGGCTTAAAAATCGGCTATTTTCCGATGGGAGCGAGATCTCGGTGGGAGTTTTCGGGTTCCTTGGGTATCCTGCAAGTTCCTGAGGCTGCGGATCGCCAAAACATCGCTCTTCCGGATATCAATAAATCGGCTCAAGTCGCCGACTTCGTTGTCGGTGGCGTCTACAAAAACGAAAAGCACGAAAAAAAAACACAGAAAATAAATTTTAGAAACGCAAAAAACACAAATAAAAAACATTTTGGAAATTGAGAACGATTAATTATCTGCATTGTACCTGCGCGCTTTTTCCCTGGTAGTTTCGTAAAGCCATTGAACTGAGCCAAATCTGAAACGGAAACGAAACCGACGGTCAGGAATGAAGATTAAAAAAAACGAGATGAGTTAAGAGCCATTGATTGAGAGTTACCTGATTGAGAGGGGCTGTGGGAGAAGATGAAGAGGATGAGGAAGCAGAGGAGGGTGAGGACAGGGATGACGTGGATGGATTTGTGTGGAGCGGTAGGGGGCGGTGATGACAGGCGGTGAGGCTTTGATGCTTTGTGGTCGTCGTCTGCGGAGATTGAAGAGGAGGTGGAGGTGGAAAAGACTAAAAGGTCCTTGTTACTGCTGTTGGGAGCGTCGTCTAGGAGCAGAGTTTGTTCCTTGGCTCCGCCATGGGCCTGGTGGAGCTTCGAGCCCGGTGAGCCCCCCAGTGATTGTCTTTGCATGGTCACAGACTTGAATACACAGAGAAGGACAAAGAGAAAACGAAAGAGAGAGAGAGAGAGACAGAGAGAGAGAGAGAGAGAGAGAGTGGGTGAAAAAAAAGGCAAAGAAATTATTAGTGAGCTGTATGTCTCGAATCTGGGATTTTTAAATAGGAACTTTATTTTTCTTTTTGTTTCTATTTGTTGCTTTTTTAAAAATACAAAAAATAAAGACATTGTGGATAAAATCTCTTTCTTTTTCTTTTTCAAATCAATCATTTTTTTATTATAATTTTTTTTATTTATATACAAATTATATTGGGGAGAGGAGAATTGAACCCAAGGTAAATACAATCACTTGAAATACTTTAAATTATTCTAATTTACTACGAGAGGGATTAGAACTTAGGTGCAAGGGGTGGATTCTCTACCTTGGCCAACTAACTTAATCCACATTAGCAATAAATTCTTTCTTGTAAAGTAATTTTTTGACGAATGTAAGAAATTTGTAACTCATATGATTAAGAACAATTACACTTATGCCACACTCAAGATCCTCTATACGTAATCTCCCAACTCAATATCATTGTAGATTGGGCCAAAACAAAGTGGTCTGGCCTAGGGTGTAAGTAGCTAAGTGGGCTAGGACTTGATTTACTTATAAAGGTGAGTTGGCACGAAATTTTATAGCGAAGGTGTCATATATGAACCCCTCAAGTGGACCTTCATATTATTAGTCACATAATTATTTTATTAAACTTAATTAAAGTTACTATTTAGATGAATCATGTGACTAATGTATGGCACCCTCACCACAAAATGACTCGTGAGTTGGCATTCGTCCAAAAAAATGAAAACTCGTGAGTTGGCAAGGATTGAGGCCTGAGCCACAAACTGTTTCCACTAGTGTGATGTATCTTCTCAATGCTTTGGGCCTGAAATTTCAATCCAGACTTAAAACTCTACTGGTTTGGGCCTTTATGTAGAAAAGAGCCGAGCCTAACTGACTTCATCAACACCAACGAACGGTTGAGATCAACTTGAGTATCCCCGCGTACCATCGGTGACACGAAGCATAGGGAAACTGAGAATGTTGTTGACGAGGATCGAAATTTCTGGCGGCCCGTGGAAAGCTTGCGAGAAACGAAAACCTAAAAACAAAACCATAATAAGGAAAAATTCTCAGAGACAATAACACAAACACAAGCTACGCACAAAGCGAAAACAAAGGAAGGAAGGAAGGAAGGAAGAATGGTGCTGTGGGAGATCACATTAGGAACAGCCTATTTCTTGGGGCTGAGGCGCACTTATAGACTGGCTCTGAAGATTCAGCGACGCCTCATAAGCCCTAAGCACCCCAAGATCCGTCAATTTGCTCACAGGTATTTGTTTTCTCTCTTTTTTCCCCCCTTTAATTTCTCTTTGAAATAGTTGTGATTTGGGAAGAGTTTGATGTATTTAATCAAATCAATAATTCTAGAATTTCCTCTCAATATGAATATAATTTTTGGTTTATTTTGCATGATTTTTCTTCCCTTTATCTTTGCATCCATAAAATTGGTTTAATGCATGTTTTGCATCAGTCTCATTCGAATGTATGTGTGCTCTTTCTTCTTCGTGGTTTAGGAATTTTTGTAATCTTAATATATAATTTGTTGAATGTTTCTCAGATCTTATTTTCTTTTATGTTTTCAATTTCCTTTTATGAAATTAGTTCTGAATGGCCAGTGATTTCCCCATTTTTCAGTGTTAAAATATTTCTGTTGGGTAAATACTTAACCTTACGCAAAAGTTTCATTGCATCAAACTCTGCAATTTGTTGATGCTAACATCTTTAAACCCTTCACAGTTCTCATTTGTCTCTTGCAATCTTCATGTAATGTGTTCTTCCTGGATTAGATAAACATTTGATTATCATCCCAGACGTTTTTATTTGAATATTTAGCACAAATTCATAGCTCATCAGAACTTATTTAGCATTCAAACTATCAGATGTGTTTAATCATCAGTAGGATTCAAACTAGCAGTTTGTTTGTTGCTACGATCCAATTTTACTTGTTTCCTGTGATACTGCAATAGTTCGTTAAATAATGACTATTAATAATTTGTTTTTGTATTAGTTTATAACTGCTACGGCCATTGTGTTTTCTTTCATTCAAAGGCGAACACGTGCTGTGTTTGATGTAGCTATCAGGGTTCACAAGAGCATACAGGAAAGAGACATAGAAGTTGGTCGAAATCTTGGTAACCGGATCCTACGATGGCTTGATCGGATGAAACCCGAAGCTCAGATTCGGGGTCCTCTGGAAAAACCCCCCACCAGTGGTAGCATGATGAATAAGGTAAACTCCCACCTCAAAACTCCTGGAAGCACCCAGATAACCAGAAATCAGGAATCCGACAGGCATCTGTTTTCAACAATGACCAATATGTGGTCTAAACCCCTTCCTCCAATTACAATGATGATGAGATCACGAAAGCCTTCTGGGATGATAAACCAGTACAGGCACTTATGCATGAATGTGCCTCAACCGTTAAGATCGAACTACAGTGCAGGTGCGTTTGGGGGAGTTATACGGAAAGATATAATGCAGTGGATGCTGCAAAAATGATGGGGAAATATGTACCCCTATGTGTTTCTTTAGGAGCCAAACAATGTTGGGATCAAATTAAGGAGCAGATAGGTTTTGAGGATGTTGGATGCAATACAGTTCCTCTGGGGTTGACTGCTGTTTTTCAAAATCTGCTTTCAGAGAAGTGTATTTGTTTTGTTTTCTTTTTCTGGGACAATTATATGATACTCTTTGTTTTGTCTGTTGTTCTTTGTTCTTTTTGGGAAGCTGTAGTTGCTTGTGACATCAGACGGTTTTGTAATTAAATTACGGGGATTTTAAATCTTGATTATTGCTTTGTAATCAGTTCTCGCCGTAATTTGGCCAAAGATGTCGCTGCTTCAAAATGTGAAAATTCTAATGGATCACAACATGTTTATCAAACTGATATATGATATGAATTTGATGCTCAGCCAGTTTTGAAGTTGGTGCTTGTACACAAAAGTCACATGTTTTTGTGTACTGAAATTGTCTCGCAACCCTCGTTCACCAATTTGTGATTAGTCAACAAATTAATGGACTGTGATGAAAAGAGTCAGGTTAGAGATTAAAAATGGAGACGTGGTAAAATATTATTGCATCCGAGTTCGATCCTCCGTCCAATACACTAGAGTAGTTTAAAATATTATTTTGCTAAGATTAAAAAAAAAAAAAAAAAGGATTAAAAATGGAGGTCCATCGTTAGCCACTTCAAATGTTTGAGAAATTTTCAGTATAGCTTGTGAAGTTGGACAAGGTTGAAATAAAAAAAGCTTAAAACCCGCACACATAATGAAGCTCCTCAAGCCACAGGTAGAAACTGTGAAGATAATGATCGACAGGAGCGGCAATGCATCAATTCCTGAAGCCACATTTCATTTTAATTAGGGATGTGCATGGTTCTACAATGGTGTTCTTCAAATAAGTTTTGACACGCCTTAACTATTTTTTTTCGGTCGAAAAATGAGGCCATAACTTATGAATAATATTTTGGGCTTTCCTTCAAGGGTGCTGACCATGGGCTTTATGTTTGGAATAGTTAAGTCCAAAAGAATTTTTAAAAAAGAGACATATTAAGCCGGTGGCATGCAGGGTCTCTCTCCTGTTCTGAACGCGCCAGTCGTCGTCCTTCAATATCTCTTCGTATACGATTAGGGCTTGCACACAGAGAGAGAGAGAGAGAGAGAGAGAGAGAGAGAGAGAGAGAGAGAGAGAGAGAGAGAGAGAGAGAGGGAAATCGAAATTGGCCTGATAGCGATCATCGTTGAGGTTGAAAGAAGGACTTTGTCTCGGGTAAGTAAATTTGATTGTGACAGTGTAGGAAAAGAAATTGGAAACTTGAAATCCCAAATTTCGAATTGGGTTCGTTCGGCATTGGAAGGGTCAATATCATAATCCAATGCCCAATTTGCAGCACCAATTAAGGTTTTTGTTTGCTATGGAAAGCAAACCCAGTTACTCCATGTTTGATTTTTCAATTGAGTATGTGTGTATGCATTTGTGTATCTCATTGAATTTTTAATTTAGGTGATGCCCTTTATGATTTTGGTCAATATGGTTGAAAATATTACATCTTTGAACCAGATGCCAAAAACCTAATGGTGCTTGGTATTGATGGTGGGTTCTCATTGAACCTGGGCGGTTTTGTTAAGTTGCTGCTCTAAAATTTTTGTTGATTGCTACTTTTGAGGGTTTATTATTATTGTATTTTTCATGCACCCTTCCTTTCATATTTTTCATGTTATAAAACCAAATGCTTTGGTTGCATAATTGTTGTATTTTTCATGCACCCTTGCTTTCATATTTTTCATGTTTTAAAACCAAATGCTTTGGTTGCTTAGAATCAGTCAGAACTGTATGGATTTTTTGTAAATCTGATTTGCTACTGCTTATGGAGATAGCATATTGTTGGTTTGAAATGCTACTGGTTTTGGTGGTGGTATATGGTTCCCTTGAAAGTATAAAAACTATCCATTGGGTTTAGATACAATTTCAAGGTGGTTTCCCTGTGTAATGTGATACATGTTCCTGCACTTGTACTTGTTTGTTGAAACTGTTCGCTTTGCTAATCCTCATCCTCTTTGTAATTGCAGGTAATAGAAGCCACAGACATCACAATGGAATTAGCAGACAAGGCCGTTGGGTTTCTGTTATCCTATATCAGTTTATCTATATTCACTTATTACACATTCTGGGTCATAATCCTGGTCAGTTAATTACCTGCCTTGCTTTGCTACTTCTTTCTCAAATGCTTCTCACACTTATATTAACCTGATGTTGATATTTACTCTCGTTGTGTTTCAGCCGTTTGTAAACAGTGATCACTTCATCCACAGGTATTTCCTGCCCCAAGAATATGCCATATTAATACCTGTGTTTGCTGGCATGGTGTTTCTCTGCTTCTTATGCATTTTCATTGGATATGTGATGCTCAAATCCAAAAAGAAGAAAGCATGATACAAAGGGTTGCGATCGCACAAGGGTGGGCTTTTTCTTTGGAGGTGAATCATAGTTTAGATTGTTATAGTCATTTTCTGAAATGGAGCAGATTACATTACTTGTTTGTCTGTATCATTTCTAATTCACCTTTCTACCCTTTTTTGTTTCTTTTGTCTCCATAATTGTGATTAAGTGTTCATTTGACATTCAGATATGTGATAGTTCTTCCATCTTTCTAAGATTACAACACTAATTAGACTGCCTAGGTAGTCTCTCTTTATAAACCTTTGAGCCTGTATGCTTGGATTGGCATATATATGCATATCATGTACAGAAAACTAGGATCAACAAAGTCATATGCTCTGGTCTCTAGCTGATTAATTCTTTAATTATGACAAAACCCAATACTAATCCTTTTCTAGAAAATTAAACCTGCTTTTGGTAGGTCTGCAATTAGTCTGAGAGGCAGCTTGCTCTGTATTTTGCACATGCAAGTAGGGCAGTTGATTTTCTCCTCATAGGCAAAATAATGCATATCTTTATGTCCTTTGCCACATCAAATAAAAGTGAATAAAACCAGAACAACTCGATTTATATTCATTTTTAACGCAGCAAAACAGGGTTTTATTTTACAGCATGAATTAATACAAATTGGGTAATGTCAATTGGGTGCTTAGGGGATAATAAATACCAAACGTGGCATAGTCACATGAACTCTATTAGGAGGGCATGGTAGGCCCTATCTAGAAGGTTGAGCTGTGTACTTATGCTCCTCATCTCCTCAGGCTTGTAGCTCGAGTGGACAAGAGTATTTATCCCTACATATGAGATTTTAGGTCCCACTTCTCCCAATATCGCCTGTATTAAAAATTTGAAAAAAATCTCCTATCGCCAGTCCCTGCATCATTCCCTGCAAGGATTACTCCTGTGTATTCCCATTTTGATCCCCAAGCATTACAAGCTGACCTACAAATATCCGATGACCACAAGATGAGAATCAATATTCACTATGAACAAGGCCTTTGTTCTCGTCATAAAGTTGAACTTCCCACTTGTATAACTGGTTGCTGCAAAGTTTTTGGTATGCCAAGCTGCCAGGAATGAAGCAATTTATGCTCTTCATAAGGACGACATTTGGTCCTTAGTTTCTTTTACATCAACCACAGTTAAAACTATTTTGCATATTATTTTCGGAAGATATGAGGTCCAAAAATCCATACTCCAACATTGTTTATAAAACATTAGCAAATTAGCAAAGGGTAGCACAAGCGGTGAATAGCATTTATTCCTGCATTTGAAGTTCTAAGTTCGATTCGTCCACTAGCATTTATTCCTGCATTTGAAGTTCTAAGTTCGATTCGTCCACTTGAATTGTTTGTTAAAAAATAATAATGGAATTTTGATCAACCCGGATAAATGAAGTAGGCACCAACACCGCCGTCCCTAGTCTTTAGAAATGCCCGACTCCCATCTGATCAATTACATAACATTCCATTGCCCCTCTCCCCACCATTTCCAACCTGTAACCTACCAAATCAACCTGCCACCAAGGCAATGCAGGCCATCATCATAATCAAAACATTACCGCAAACAACAAATGCATCCGTACCATGACGTGGCAAAAGCTCATTGGCTTCCAAGTGGCGAGTGAACCATTCTTCAAAGAAGCAAAAGGCACACAAAAACTCCACTTGTTTAAAAAGCCGTTGACGGCAAAGAAAGACGTGCGAGCGCGGGCACCTGTCACATAATTCCCGCGTCTTTCACCTCAATTTCTCGCGTTGGATCCCCATCAATCCAACGCTCACAATTCTCCTTTCATGAAAAATAAAAAGGAATTAATAATAATTTAATCACATGATTGAAACTCAAATTCCTACCACCTTGACCTCATTATTTGATCACCAACAAACATCATCATCGTCATTTTTGAGATTTCTACGTTGTGTTATGTGTGTGATCGTGATCGCGAATTCAAATATCGGATCCGATATTTGGGTCAAGACTGAAGAGCAATTGATTCGGAGGATCCACCGAAAGAGGAGGAATTAAGTAGGACATGGAAGGAGATGTTGGATTGGATCTTTGAAGCTTCTGCCCTCCCTCCTCAGACTCTCTAATCTCATCCCACATTCTCATTAAACATGGATCCAATTTTCATGCAAATCACCATGTTTCTACACTGAATTCAATGAAGCTCAGCTCAGCCCAGATCATCGTCGTCTTCTTCAATTTCGATCCGAACCCACGACTTGAATTCTCAACTAACTAATCACAAAATCATCCTGATGAGCAACTTTGATCGAAACAAGCAGCCAGTGAAGCTAGACGACGAGCAAATCGCGGACCTGCGTGAAATATTCCGGTCGTTTGATCGAAACAACGACGGAAGCCTAACACAGCTGGAGCTGGGGTCGCTTCTGCGCTCACTGGGGCTGAAGCCAGGGCCTGATCAGCTGGATACCTTGATCCAGAAGGCAGACACCAACAGCAATGGCCTTGTGGAGTTTTCGGAGTTCGTAGCTCTCGTAGCCCCTGAGCTTCTGTCGGCCAAGTCTCCTTACACGGAGGACCAGCTGAGGCAGCTGTTTCGGATGTTTGACCGGGACGGCAACGGATTCATCACAGCTGCTGAGCTGGCTCACTCCATGGCTAAACTTGGACATGCTCTTACGGCTGAGGAGTTGACTGGGATGATCAAGGAGGCTGATACTGATGGGGATGGCAGGATCGATTTCCAGGAGTTTGCTCATGCCATTACTTCTGCTGCTTTTGATAATTCTTGGTCTTAGACAATTCCCAGCTAGTTAATTCATTTCCGAAATTCCATCCATCCATCCATCCATCCATCGGTTTTCTTTGTTTTCAGGTATAGTTTGATTAATTTCTCTGTTTCTGCATACTCAGATGTTTGTTTTTTTGGTGCATATATTTGACCATGAATTTATATATGGATCGATCTATTTAATTTGTGATTAGGAAGATCTTTCGGGTGCTTAATGATTTACATAAGACGGCCTTCACTTCAATATGATCTTCTCATACAAATTATAATAGCGGTCTCTAATTAGAAGCATGCTAGGCAATGTTGATGATGATTTAATTTTGAAGGGTTTACTTTTGAATGGAGGGATAGTGAAAACTCATGATGGGAAATAATCTTTATTCACAAGAGACCAATGATGAAGCATCTTATCTGTTTGGTCTCCAAATTAATGTTGTGATGTGATTCATGGAATACTTGCTGTGGATACAAATTCCACACGTTATGTAAAATGTCTTGTGTGACTTGAAACCAAAGATAGAAACAATTGAGTCCTTCGCACACCATTCTAGTGTAAGCAAAAGAACTCCGATGCTTAAGTTACACGAAAAGAAATAAGAACTTAGAGTTCTTGTCTATTTATTATGGTGCGAGTGAGCCCGATTGCTCCAATTGGTAATCAACGCGTGTCATTGACCGATTTTTATTCTCATCACTCCTGCCTAGCCATAAACTACTTAATAGACGGAGTGATCATGCATGATTTGATCTACGCTTATTCGTTATGAGCATTTGAATTGAGGATAATCGTGCAAAGTCCACTGGCCCAATGCAGTCGGCCAGCTTAGGTCTGCAAAAGAAGAGAGAAAGGAAAGTGCATGTTTTTTATTTTGTTTTATTTTTATATATACAAGCGATACTGGGCCAGAGGGGATTCAAACACTGACCTCAGGTACATGGATTACGACTTTTAACCACTTGAGCTACAAGCCTCTTGCAACCATAGTAGTAGCAACAATGAACAAATATATTTATAAACTAAATCAACACCAGCAGCTGGTGTGAGAGGTAGATGCAGAGGAGCAAGATGCACATACAATTAGTTTATGTAGCGGTGTATGCATGTGATCAGCATAAACTTTGAGGTGCCATTTATGTATTGGGTGGAGGACACAAATCCATATCATGTGGTTTCCTTCTACTGCGCAAATGTTAATGTTTAACAGAAGAGAAGATCTTGTTTTTCAACCATCTTTCACCTGTTTGTTGCAGGTTAGACAATTTTCCTAGAATGACCCACCAACCGAGTCTTCTGTTCTAGCACGATGCTCATAGTGCTTCAAGTATTTAATTATTCATGTTCTTCTTTTCTCTCCTGATGATAAAAGTGGCATTTGTTTTTTTGTGGCAATCTAATTTAATTCCTAGGTTCTGAACGTTTTCTTTTGTTGGATTTCATGGCCGTTTTGGGAACATTGCTTTTATTATATTGGTGAGTTGTGTTAATCTACGCGTTGGTGATATAATTCAAATCTCATGGACCTGAAGTAGATACATGTGTTATAACTTGAGCGAATTGATGCACAACACATGGCGAGCGGTACATCCGTCAAGCCAAAATTTAATAAATTTCTCCCTTGTTGACTTGTAGGCTTAATTTGAATGTAATCCTAAAAAGTATAGGAGATTCATAATTGCATTAGTGTCGTGAAACGCGTTTTCAACCATTCATCGGCTTAAATGTCCTAATAGCGTATTCTGCTTGAATGGTATCGCCTTTGCATGTTGACAAAGTTATAATGTTTATTGTCATGCAATCAAGACTTTTTCTATGTGATAAAGTTTCTTCTTTGTTATATTATACTTGCATACCTGTAAATGAAACTTGGATTCCAATCTGTATTGTCTTAGAACACAGCAATCCGCTATAAAAGTGCTTAATCACTTGAGAAACCCCCAATCCCGAAATACACCCAAACTTCACTCACAACATCATGATCTATTTCTCCATTGCTCTCGATATGTGTCTTTCCATCAAATAAGGTGTAGCACACACACCTTGTATTCTTTCCAAAATAGTGTAGAACGGAGAAACACTTCACTTGTGTGAAACGAGAGAAAACTTTCATGTGACGGGAATAACATTTTTTGCTATTTCTAGTCAATAATGCAATGACATGTGTAATAACTTTTTCATGTGTCATTGTCCTATTAGTTGAGTATAGCAAAACAGTGCTATCTCCGTAACAAGTAAAATTTTCAGGTGAAACTTGAGTTATATCCGGCCAATCCCGATATGCCGTACTTAATAACTTTGTCAGCCCATAGTTTTTCTGAGCAGTGTTGAGGCTTGAGGAATGGTTGGCAGCAACAGCCCAACCTCTCTTGATGACGTGGCCAAGTAAGAGAAGAGCCACACAATACGAGTAGAGGTGGTTTAGAAGGTCTTCAAATATTTTGGTCGTCGTAGTAAGAAACTATATTTTATGTTTGCCAAGCAGCCACTCAAAAATACTGCAAGTAAGTAAAATAGCTTGTATCTGAGATCATCATCTGCTTCATTGTTTGACTTTCAAATTAATTATAAAATTGATGCTCTACTTAAGCTAAGCAGCGTCTCTTAATTTGCAGCAAATTAATCCTAATCCATATAATTAAAGAAAATGGCGGATCCAAAAGAAATTACCAACAAAAAGCTTCAAGGCAAGGTCGCGATCGTCACCGGCGGAGCCAGCGGCATCGGCGAAGCCACCGCGCGCAAATTCGCCTTGCACGGGGTACGCGCCGTCGTGATCGCGGACGTCCAGGACGAGAAAGGCCAAAACGTCGCCGCATCGATCGGTTCCGACTGCTCCACCTACATCCACTGCGACGTGACCGACGAGGACCAAGTCAAGAGCTTGATCGAATCGACGGTCAGGATTTACGGCCGCCTCGACATCATGTTCAGCAACGCTGGCATCGGCAGCGCCGGCGAGCAGACCGTTTTGGACCTGGACCTGGCCATGTACGACAGGGTCATGGCGGTCAACGCCCGCGGAATGGCGGCGAGTGTGAAGCACGCGGCGAGGGCGATGGTAGAGGGGCGCGTGAGGGGGAGCATCGTGTGCACGGCGAGTGCGACGGCGAGCATGGGGTCGGCGAAGTTCGCGGACTACACAATGTCGAAGCACGCCGTTTTGGGGCTGATGAGGTCGGCGAGTGTGCAGTTGGGCGCGTACGGGATACGCGTCAACTGCGTGTCCCCAGGGAGCGTGACGACGCCGCTGCTGCGGTCGACTTTTAAGGTGGGTGCGGTGGCGGAGGAGGAGGATGTGGGGAGGTTGGTGGAGTCAAGTTTGAGGTTGAAAATAGGGAAGATGATGTCTGTGGAGAATATAGCTGACGGCGTCGTCTTTTTGGCTTCTGACGACTCTGAATTTGTCACCGGCCATAATTTGGCTGTGGATGGTGGGTTTATTAGTAGGATATCCTGAAGATTACAGACTCAAGATCCGAAAGTTGGACATTCCTCATGGCGGAATTATGATGATTTCAATCAAGGGTGGAGCCAATTAAGGCCTTAGATGTTCAATCCACTGAGATGTTAAAGCCTATTTGATTTATATTAAAACTTATTGAAAATTAGTTTATGGAGCTATGAACTAGCGTGGTTTATATGATTTATTGTTTACTTTTATTTCTACAAAAACTATAAAAATTGTAAGTACGTACCAAAAAATAATCATTAAATTTTAAGCTAATAATTTTAGCTAGCCCACTCGTTGAAAAATTCCTAGTTCCGCCCTTGATGAAGCATATGAAAGTGGGTGGTAGAGTAACTGGTTTGGCCTTCTACCACGTAAGTGTTTTTATTCATGTTCAGTTTAATTAGCAATATCTTCCAATATTGTCTTAAAACCCATTAAATATTTTTGGAACAACAACCATCAAAGTTTTCTTATATAATTGAACTTATGCTAAAATATTTATGTAGAAAAACAATGGATACTTAAGATTTTAGGTTGTTAATCTATTATCTCATAGTTTTATTCTCATGGCACATCTTTGTATGCATTTTTCTTCTCCTCTAAACCATCCTAGTCCAAGTCTGGTGGTGGTATGGCTTTTCCATTTATCTTGGCTAATAATGTTGACCCTCCTTGAGAGAATTCCTGGCTACGCCACTGATTTCAATGAGTGGTTTTGTTTTGGTTTGTCTTTCTTTTTATGGAGTAACGATATGATTATTCTGTTTGTCATGTGACACTTCTTTTGCAATTTGTAGGTCACCTACTTGTTTTGTTGAAGCCTTAAAAAGGGAAGAGGGATGGTTATATATTGATACATGTTTTGTTTAATCAACCTTCTTGAACGCTTGAAACTTTATGCTTGACTTCCTATTGCCCATCTATGGGGCTTACACCACAGCCAAAGGCATCTAGACTTGTAATTAGATATTTTTCTTCTGGTTTGGCTTAGCTCTGTCTGTGTGACGTACATGCATTTATCTGTCAGTAATATTCTTTCTTAGGGCTCGTTTGTGAGTGATTCAGAATATGTCAGAATTACTTATGGGGAGAATAATGTGCTTCTCAATATAAGGCTCGTTTGGGGGTAATTCTAAATATGATAGAATCACTTCTAGGGAGAAGTATCTCCCACGTGATTCTCCATATAATCACTTTTAGTGATTTTAAGTGATTCTAGTGCTTCTCCATAAAATCACTTAAAGTGATTATTTGGAGAAATGATTCTCCATAAAGTGATTATTGGTCTCTTCATAATCACTCCAAAACGAGCCCTTATTATACACATGACCCAAACTACAGTTTTATACGAGTAACTGTTTAGGGGTTGTTTCATAACCATTTCATTTTCATTTTTCATTTTCTCTTTTTTTGAAAAATGAAAAATGAAAACATGTTTGGTGAGAGATTTCGTTTTCAGTTTTCAAAATCACTCTTATTTTTTAAAACAAATTGAAAGTATTTTCAATTTCTAATTTTCGTTTTCATCTTTTTTGCGCTCCATGTTCCTTCATTAATTTTACATCACAAAAACTCGGTACTTGGGACTTCCCGACTTGGACCCTGTTGCTCGATTCTTGCGTTCAACCACAAACCAGTCCAATCCTCGTGTGGTTTAGATCCAAAATTCACAAAAAATCATCCTAATTGTGAAAAATTCACCGAAAAACACTACGAACTCTTTGTGACATGCACTTAATTCCATTTTCAAGTTCCACCTAAAACTGAAATAAGTTACCAATCAACTTTTGTTCACATTTCACATTTCATTTTTTTTTTTAAACTAAAATTAGTTACCAAATAAGTTTTCAGTTTTTAAAAAATCAAAACTGAAAACTTAAGGTCTCATTTGATAACCATTTCAGTTTTCATGTTTCAGTTTTTAGTTTTCAATTTTTCAGTTTTCAAAAAAAAGTGAAAACTGAACAAAAGTTGTTTGTTAACTAATTTCATTTTTCAGTTTTATGTGGAACTTGGAGATGAAATGTTTTGGAGTTAAATTGTGAATTTGAGATCATAGAATGAAAGTGCATGTTACAATGAGTCCGTAATATTTTTCGGTGAATTTTTTGGAATTAGGATGATATTTTTTTGTGTGAATTTTGGATATGGAGTTCCTGAGGTTTGGATTGGGTCCATGGACAAACACAAGAATGGAGAGGCTGGGTCCAAGTCGGGAGGTCCCATATACCGAGTTTGGTAACTAGAGTGCATTTCATGTGTGGTGTAAATTAATTAATGAAATAGGAGTGTATCAAAAATAAAAACGAAAACATAAAACACTTTCAAGTTGTTTTCAAAAAATAAGGGTGATTTTGAGAACTAGATTTCACTTTTTTGAAAACTGAAAACGAAATATGTTACCAAACATGTTTCAGTTTTAAAAAAACAAGTGAAAATGAAAATAAGATGACTATGAAACTCCTAAATGATTATCAAATGGACCCTACGCTTTTGCTTGAGGGTCTAATTTGAATATGGACTTATTGCATTCCCATTTATATTGCATACTAAACCTCTTGTTGTTGAACCCACAAAAAAATATACTAAACCTTCCATCTTTGCAATACTCTTGGCATGGTTCTGTCTCAAAGAGTGAGTGTCTCAACATTCATTTACTATATATGATATTGTGAAGTGAGTACTCTTGTTAAAGGTGTATAAAGACTATTCTCTTCTTATTACATTTAGTACATTTCATTGACATCTTCCCTCATGGCAATCCCCAGCTTCCCTCATATTAAGTGGACATTCCTTGATTTTTTTTTTTTTTGGGGGGCATATTAAATGTTTATTTCTTTATTTCTTTTTGGTATATTGCATTAATTGAATTGAAGAGTTTGTTAGGCCATAATTATGAAAGTAGCAAATAAGCCTTTTCAAATTTCCATGTCAACAAACTTTTATTTGAAGAGTTTAGTTTGCTACTACTATTGGAGATGCTTAGAAGGAGAATATTTGGATTTGAATAAAAGAGAGTTTGTGTGGTGAAAGTTTGTGAGAGTTTAGGGAGAGAAATATATGGTGTATGTGTGTGTTACAAATGGTTATTATGTTATAAATTTCAAAGCAAATAAAGAAAATTTTGTTTTGGTAAAGAATAAATAAAAATGGATATTATTAGGGGTAATATGGGCATTGAGAAAAGTCAAACTATGATCATTAATATGATAATTAATGAAAATTTTGATAAAAACCCTAAAAATGGGCCTACATTGATCCTAAAAAACTCATGGATGCTTGTAATTTTGGGTTAGTATCTAATTTTTTATTATATTATTTAGAAAGAGTTATTTACTCAAATGGACCTCAAACTTATACTCGAGTTGCATTTTGATCCCTCAACTTATTTGTTCAAATGGTCCACCAACTCTTTATTAATCGTCACATTGGTCCTACTACCATTACATTCTGTCAATATTGCCATCAAATATAGGGATAAAACAGTCCAATTAAATAAAATACTAAATAAATTAAAAACTAAAAATCAAAAGAAAAAAAAAAAACCTCTCTTCCACCTCCTTCAACATTTTTTCTGTTTGAACTGGTGCATTTGGACCTCATGATATTGTTCATTGAAACCAATAATTTTTTTGGGACCCTTGAAGATTGAAACCGTGATTTGATTTTCATCATATTGTATAATTTTTGGGTAATATCTCTTGGGAGCTATGTGGAAATGAAGAACAGTGTGAAAAGGGACCTTTGGAGCTATCTGTGATTTGGTCTCTCACACAACCATCGCCCAACCCCCATCTTGTCCTCCCTACACCCCACCCTCTCTTCCCCTCCCTCCTCTCCCTCTATCTCTCTCTTCCCTGGTGAGAGGCCGTTGCAGATCGACGATTTCAAGATCTCGTCGGGTTAATTGGCCATGGTTTTCTCGGCGACAGTTTTGATGGAGATGATGACTAAAAATTATTTATTTAGGAAATTGAAGGCATAGGGGAGAGAGAGGAAAAGAGGGACATAGAGAGAAAGAGGCGAGGAGAGAGAGAGAGGAAGAGATAGGGATAGAGTGGGTTCGCCTGAATGGGGTGCTGGATTCAAGTCTGGGGTTTGTTGAGGTTGATGTGGAGTATGGGGGTTGGGATTGGAGTGTCTAAAGACTTATTTACCCCCACAAATGTAGCATGTATTGCTCACATAACTAAATTTAACAGAAAATGTAACGGTAGGACCAATGCGACGATTAATAAAGAGTTGGATCATTTGAACGAATAATTTAGTTGAGAGACCTAAATGCAACTCGGGTATAAGTTTATGGGTTCGCCTGAATGGGGTGCTGGATTCAAGTCTGGGGTTTGTTGAGGTTGATGTGGAGTATGGGGGTTGGGATTGGAGTGTCTAAAGACTTATTTACCCCCACAAATGTAGCATGTGTTGCTCACATAACTAAATTTAACAGAAAATGTAACGGTAGGATCAATGCGACGATTAATAAAGAGTTGGTGGATCATTTGAACGAATAATTTAGTTGAGAGACCTAAATGCAACTCGGGTATAAGTTTGAGGACCATTTGAGTAAATAACCCTACTTAGAAATGATCTTATCTATTTCTAGAGGATTCTTTTGAGGATGACAAGACAATAATTTCAACGAAAGAGTGAAGTTCATTCAACAATGGTGAGACTACATGAAAGCATGTGGAGAAGAATGGCCAAAATGTTGCGGAAGTGGTTCTTCATGACTTTTATGGATTTATCTCCTATTTTTTTGTATTTTTTGTATTTTTTTTTTGCCAAAGTTAGGAAGAAAGATGAGGTATGAGTACTATCCCCATTGGCCCTGTTAATGCATTTATCTAAGATGATATTATCCCAATAATAACCTCAAAGTTCTCACTAGTCATCTAGACGCATATAAATATGAAGTTAATGAGGTTATTGAGAAAGAAAAGCATACTCAAAATTCTCTTATTTCTTGTTTTTTATTTTAAACATATTTTATATTATTTGATAACACAGTAACAAAAAGAATCGAACATGCCCAAAAAGGAAACAAG